GAGCGGCGCCCGCAGCCGCCCGTCATCGTGGCGCCCCACTCGCAGCCGGCCGGCAGATGATCCGGCGGGACGGGAGCCACGGAGCCGCCGCCGGAGCCGCGGAGCCGCCGGAGCTGCCCTTCGCTCCCCGCTCCGCTCCCCTTCTCCCGGTGTTTGACGCGGGCTCCAGGACAGCCCCGCACGCGGGTGTTGACGGACGCGCTGGCGCCTCGGCCACCCCCGCTCCCGGAGAAGGGAAGCGCCCATCCCGGGAATGCCGCGGCGGGCTGGACTCCGCAGGGAGCCCCGCGGAGGGACGGAATGCGGCCGCTCCGGACGGACTCACGGGGGAAGCGGGATGGGGGCGCTCGGGACGCTCCATCCCGCTGCACCGCAGCCGTGCTCCTCACAGCCGGAATTCCCGTTGGGAGCCACGACACAGGCGGCCTGGGAGGTCCGCAACAGGCGGCGCTACCGCCGGACACGGCTCCTCCGCACAGGACCTTAACAGTGGTGGCCTTAAACCAGGCGCCGGTGCCTGTTCCCGGGCCTTGCGGGCAGGTGACGCTGCTGCTCCAGAGCCGGCGCTCCGAAGGATCCGTGGAGCCGCCCGGAACGCGGTCTCCGCCGCGCGGCTGTAGCGCGCGGCCGCCTGTGCTTCCGCAGCCCCACGCGGGCACCGCTCGCTTCTTCCTCAGGTTTTCCAGGACTTCCCGGCCCTGCCGGAGCTTCCCACATTTCACCCTCTCCCGATGGCTCCGGGTGAACTCGGGACCGTGAAGTGGAGCCGGGAGCCGCTTCCTGCCTCGGAGCCGCCGCGGAAATAGGGAAGAGCCGCCACTCGACTGCGTCCTGCCGCAGGGGCGCTCCAGAGGCGGCTCTGGGCCAGGGCGGAGGGACACGGAGCCGTTCCATGTTCCCGGTGGAATGGAGGCGCACGGCAGTGCATTTTGGGAGCATTTCAGGAAATTTCGGTGTCTGGAGCTTGGGTTTTGAACCCCTCCTGCCTCCAGCTCCGGATTAGGGAGAGGCCAGGACAGGAGTCGGGCGCTCTGGCCGCTCCTGGGTTTTTAAGTGCCTATTCCGGGGCTGCTGGGGGTTGGGATGAGGTGGCTGGATCCGGCGCTCGGATGTGCCGGGTCCGCTCCGGCCTGGGAGCGCAGGGATGTCTGGCCTCTCTTCCCGTTCAGCCTCAGCCAGAGCCTCCGTGGCTTCGGGGACGGGAAAAACGGATTCTTTTCCAGTGGGGAAGGGGGAGTTTCCTCCCCTTCCTCTGCTCCCTCCACTGGAGCCGGAGCTGCCAGAGCCGGATCCGGCATCTCTGAATCCCTCGGGACGTGATGGCGGGGACCCCACCCTTCCAAGGGGAAGAGCACCGGGAATCCAGCCCTGCGGGCGCTCCCGCTTTTTGGGAAGTTTTGGGATCGCAGAGCGGGAAGAGCCGCCCCCGTTGTCCGGATGGATCCGGAGCCGCCCCCCCAGCCCCGGCTTGTGCCTTTATTTATGCTGCACCTGTAACATTAAAGTGGTATCGAGGAGCTGCCGCCTGCGGGGACACGGGGGGACACCGGGGACACCGGG